TTACCTTCAAGCCTTTAAGACCCCAGATGCTATACTTTTTGATAGCCGGGTGTGGCTTGCTTCTGATAACAGGACCAAAGTGTGTAAGACAAGTCTCGCCACCACCACTACCTCCCTCCCCCGCCCTGCCATGCCCTGCAAGGAGCATTCTAGATGTGCTTCCTCCACCACCCAAAGCCAAACGGACTGCCGTCCAGCGGATCCTCACTCACAGGGACCCTCGAAGGACAGGGTAGAACTGCCCCTTGGAGTTTCCGAAACTGTAAAGTCTTTGAGGGAGCAAAGCACCTGGTCTCTTTCTCCCAAGGAACACCTTGTGGTTTCAAACTGCAGACCATGGTGGTTAGCAGATTTGTTTGTTATTCGAGCAGTCCATTGGCCTGTCCACATGCTTCCCAATTACCATAGTTCAAAGACATCACCTCTGTCTTCTCATACGTCCTTAGTCCTTGTCCCGATTTCACATGCATACGAGGGGACTGAAATTACTATGGCTTGGGTCAGGGGCCGCTTAGTCCTCAAAATGACTCCTTTGCTTTTTTTTTTTTTTAACACTTTAAAGAGGTCTTTTGCAGCAGATTCGTCCAGTGCCCTAATGTCCTAGGGTTGTTCTCCTCCCCTCCCCCTGCCTCCCTTCCTTTTTCCTTTCCTTAAGAGATTGTATGTGAATTGTGTGCTGGTTTACAGAACAGATGGGTTTTCCATTCGATGCTTCACACACTTTTTGTTCCACCTCATTGTCTACAATTCCCACAGTGTGACCTCAGATCCCACTTCCTCCCGGTGTTCTCCGATCCCCTTCCTCCTCCTTCCCTGGCCCTTCTGAACTTTATCCTGGGAAAATGTCGCCCTTCCATCTCTAATGGTTGGTGGTTCAAAGGTGTGTAGCTCCCAGTGGTATTGTCTCGCTGGTAGAGCTGTCTATGGTTTGGCTGAGAGTGGACCTTGAAACGTGAGTTCTTTGGGAGAACTGTGGGTGACTAACCCATAGTCTTCAGGGTCCCACCAGTCTCTCTCTGATCAATGAGTTTCGTTTGGTGCTCTGAACAGGACCTCGTCATGCAGTCCTTCTCAGAGCAGTTGGGAGTGATAGCCGCAGGGCACCAGCTAATTCTTCTGGTCCCAGGCTCTTGGATACTGACGTTCTCGGCCCATGAGTCCATGGGACTACTTGTTTCCATGGGCCTGCGGCTTTCTTTACTCTTCTCTCTCCTGGACAAAAAACAGCAACGACAAAACAAACTCACTGCCAATCGAGTTGATGCCAACTCATAGTGACCCTATAGGGTAGAACCGCCCCTGTGGGTTTCCAAGACTAACTTTGTGGGTTTGTTTTTTTAATGAAAAGATCAGTTTATTGGGGGCTCTTACAGCTATTATAACAATCCATACATCAATTGTATCAAGAATATTTGTACATAGGTATCCATCATTATTTTCTAGACATTTTCTTTCTGTTGAGCAAGACTGTAATTCTTGAAAGGAGTAGAAAGGCCTGGCTCCCCCTTTGCCCCTGGGTCAGGGCGCTGGTTCGCAGCAGCAACTCTGGCTTTGGCCACCAGAGGGCAGCGCCAGCCCACGTTCCCAAGAGACCAAGTCGGGAGAGAAAGACCTGGTGACACATAGTATCCCTCCCTCTGGCGACATAGACTGCAGTTGTTTTTTCTGCAGCTTCGTTATGAACTTCAAAACCTCAGACTCAGTAAACTCACTACCATGTGTCCATTCTGACTCCGACGACGACGACGGAGGGAGCTCCCGGTGAACTTGGGCTCCCCACCCATCTCTTCATATTGTCTAGATGGGCATCAATCAAAGTATATATCGTTTGTTATTAATCAGAAAAGATTTAGGTGGCATATGTGGGGGATCAAAGTATAAATAATTAGATGGAATTCGAATTATTTTATCTTGGTGATTGTATCTCTCAAGTCAATGTATATTCTTCTGAGGACAGAGTTGTATTGACATGTAACATATTTTTTTTAGTGTAAGCCATCAATAACTTTTTTTTTCTTCCTCTCTTAAGAGTCCTTTTAGCAACAAAGTCCCCAGGGAATACCAAAAATAGACTTTGCGGCCAGGTCTTGGCACCCCCTCAGACTCGGCCGGAAAACACTCCTAAAGGCCAACAGACATCCTTGAACTAACTACAAGATTTTCTTTTTTATTGTTGTGCTGTGGGGTTTTTCTTGTTTTGTTTTTGTCATTGGCCTGTTGTTGTTGCTTTGTTTTGTTTAATTTTGTTGCTTGGTTTTGCTCTGTCTTGTTTTTGTGCAGGTTATTATCTTCCCAGGTCTGTCTAAATAAGATAGGCTGGATGAACCATCTGGAGGAGAAAACAATGGGACCGACAGTTCCGGGGGGACATGGGAGAGGGGGAGGTGAGGGGAAAGGTAGTGGTGTTAACAAACCCAGGGGCAAGGGAACAACAAGTGATCCAAATCGGTGGTGAGGAGTGGGTAGGAGGCCTGGTAGGGCTTGATCAAGGGTAATGTAACCAAAATGAAGGCTGAGCATGATAGTGGGACAAGAGGAAAGTAAAGGGAAATAGAGGAAAGAGCTAGGAGGCCAAGGGCATTTATAGAGGTCTAAATAAAGGCATGTACATATGGAAAT